GAAGTTTAGTTTAAAAGTTTATCTTGTAGATGGGGATGAGAAGAAAAATCTGGGAGAAGGCAAGGGAAGGAGAGAGACATGATTCAAAAAGAATTACAATCAGCCAAGCGCTGATGGCTCACGCCTGTAATCCTAGCTACTCAGGAGGCTGAGATCTGCCAGCCCAGGCAAGAAAGTCCCTGAGATTCTTATCTCCAGTAAACCACTCACAAAACCAGAAGTGGTGTTATGGCTCAAGCAATAGAGTGCTAGCCTTGAGCTGAAAAGCTGTAAGACATCATCCAGGCCCAGAGTTCAAGCTCCACAACAAACAACAACAACAACAAAAAGAATTGTAATCATTACCTGATTCATTTTAACCATAACCCCTCTGTATATCACCTCTACAATAATAATAAAAATAAATTAAAAAAAATAAAAGTCTGTCTGGGTGCAAAAGCTCATGCCTGTAATCCTAGCAATTCAGGAAGCTGAGCTATAAGGATCATGGTTCAAAGTCAGCCCAGCAGGAAAGTCTGTGAGACTTTTTATGTTCAAGTAACCACAAAAAAACAAAAGAGGAGCTGTGGTTCAAGTGGTAGAGCACCACCCTTAAGCAAAAAAGCTAAAGGTCAGTGCCCAGGCCCTGAATTCAAGTTCCAGTACCAGCACAAAAAATAATAATAAAAAATAAAAATAAATAATTTATGGAGACATGAGATTAGAAGAAACAAAAGTTTATTAGTCTGCCATTAAAGAAAAATGGCAGAAGTCAAGCAAAGGAGGTCACCGCTGCTGTCCCCACTGCTCCTCCTCCTGCTGCACCCACATGGATCAGGAGACAGGTTTCTATAGGTTTAGAGGGAATTCTACTGATTGGCTATCTCCCTTTTTGTGGAACTTCTCTTTTTCAAACCATCGGTTGGATTTAACACATGTATAGGCACAACTTAAGAAACAGTTTTCATATCTGCTTGCTATCCAGCCTAAGTGTGCTTGGTTTACCGCTCCAACCATCATGGCTCCTGACATGGAGCCTCCTCCATAGCAATTATACTCTGTGTGTGTGCATGTGTTGGTACTGGAGCTTGAATTTAGGGCCTGGGTGCTATCCTGGAGCTATTTTGCTCAAGGCTAGCACTCTACCACTTGAGCCACAGCTCCACTTCTAGCTTTTTTGGTGCTGACTTGGAGATCAGAGTCTTACTGACATTCCTGCCCAGGTTGGCTTTGAACCAAGATCCTCAGACCTCAGCCTCCTGAGTACCTAGGATTAGAGATATGGTACCCAGGAATCATACTCAAGGTGACTATCAGATCTATTTAATATAGAAGAATACATAAATCTTTCCCTCTATCAGATATAGATTTTTAGTGTTTTATTTAATAAATTCTTGTAAGGTTCACAGTAAGGTATTTTTTCCTGTACCATGTCTTAGAGGTCTTACAGTCTTACTTTCTTTAACATTTATGTTTCAGCCTGGAGTTGGATGAATTTGTCTAATAAGGGGTTTCAACCAAAATCCTATAGCAAGCATCATCTATGAAAACTCTAAAGACCCTTTGAAGTACAGAGCAAGACCAAGGAAGCCTGCTATGCTCAAGGGGGATGGATTAAATAAGTAATCATTTTTCCAGGCAAGACAATGTGCCAAAGATTTAGTTACACAGTCATGAATTAGAAGTATTAAGAAGCCAGGTGCTGGTAGTTCAGGCCTGTAACCTTAGCAATTCTAGAGGCTAAGATCTGAAGACTGAAGTTCAAAGTCAACTCAGGCAGGAAAACCCAAGAAACTCTTTTTTTTCCAAGAAACTCTTATTTACAATCAACCAGCAAAAGTTCAAAAGTGTGGCTCAAATATTAATGTGTTAACATTGAGCAAAAAAGCTCAGGGACAACAAACAGGCCCTGAGTTCAAGGCCCAGGACTTGCACCAAATAAATAAACACATACATACATACATACATACATACATACACATACATACATACATAAAATTTTTAAATGTGGAGAATTTCAGGTACTAGTCTATGCTTTTTGAAGCTGTTAAAATGAAAACATGCTAAAATGATCTAAAACAAAACCAAAGTATGCATAGTTATTGGGTCATGTGGAGCAAAACAAAGAAAGCACAGGAAAAGACAAAGGACTGGCAGCAGATGAACAAGGCACCCTGAGGCTGAGTCCCTCCCTTAAGCAGGAAGTCAGGGCAAAGTAATGCTGTAGGACTTTTTCATGAGAATTATGGACCACCATCAGCCATCAACAGTGCTGTTGGCTTCACTCTATCATAACAGTGTGACCATGTAACCAACAGACCAGCACTGATCTCTTAGCCAAAGTCATCTTATACCTTGATAGCTGAAGTCATTAGCAGCCCCTTGGTGTTACTAGGGCTCTGCAGTGAAGTTTGAAGTCTGGAATTGTGACACTTCCAGCACATTTCTTTGGAGGGGGAGGCTCATGATAGCTTTAACTATTCGGGGGCCTTTAGTGGTTCCAGATAAATTTTTGGATTATTTCCTCTCTCTGTAAACAGTCACATTGGGGTTGTCATGGGTTTTGCACTGCATTTGTAGATCATTTCCATTGGTAGACTAGTCATTTTCACATTATTGGTTCTACCAATCTGGGAACGTGGATGTCTTTCTACCTCCAAGTATCGTCTTCAATTTCTTTCTTCAAAGTTTTGTAGTTTTTATTTCAGAGGTCCTTCACTTCCTTGGTTAGGTTTATTCCTTGGTACCTTTTTTAGGTCATTAAAATGGAGTTGTTCTCCTATTTTCCCTTTCTATCTGCTCGTTGTTGCTAGTTTTTGTGTTGATTTTATATCCTGCTACTTTGCTGAAGGTATTTAGCAAATCTAGGAGTTTGTAGATGGAGTCTTCGGATACTTGAGATATAGGATCATGTCATCTACAAATGGGGATAGTGTGACTTTTCCCTTTTATAAGGATTCTTTTTATATCTTTTTCTTGCCTTAATGCTATGGCTAGAAATTCTAAACTGGAGGGGGGGGAGGGAGGCGGGAGGGAGGAGTTGGGGAGGTTGGGAGGGAAGGGATAGTAGGGGAAAATCAAAGAAGGAGGTAACAATGCTCAATAGGAAATGGACTCATTACTTTCCTCATGTAACTCTTACACCTCTGTATAGTATCTTTACAATAAATAAATATATATATATATATATAAACAAAGACAAAAAGAAGAAATTCTAAACTACATTGAATAGGTGTAGAGAGAGAAGACAGTCACAAAGTATCTCTGAATTTTCGCTCACATTATCATCCCAAGAACTCAAAGCCAGTGAACATTACCCATCAGGAACATTGCTTGTTCTGTCTGGATACTGTTGTAAGTGTTATGTGTATGAAGTCGCTTAATGCTTGTACCCAACTTGCCAAGGAATAATTTAAACCTAGCAACAGACAATAATAGAGATGTAAGAGGCAATTAAAAGCTCTTGCAAGCAGGGTCCTGGTTCCTTACTCCAGTAGCCCTAGCTACTCAGGAGGCTGAGATTTGAGGATTATAGTTTGACACCAACCCTGGGTCAGAAAAATCTGAGATGAGGGATTCATGGCCTTATCATATTTCAGATCAACATAAAGTTTAAAGTGAGTGATTCTAGGGGTAGGAGTGAGAACTACTTAACTCATAATCCAATTCAAACTCTCAATACTTTAGATCAAATTTCACCTAATACCAAAGCCTAAGGAGGAATCCATGGACCGCTTCCTCCTAAGTTCTTACAGATGTTTGTTTATAAAACTGTTATGACTCAATTCAAAATTGAGTTACAGGGATATTTCAGTTTTTGTATATGTAAAACTACACTTTTCAACAATCAAACTAAGGACAAGAAGGAAAACTAAAACCAGAACCAATGTGGGGTGCAAAGCCAGAAACTCTGGAGACTGGATCCTCCCTCCCCACTGACAAACGTAGGTAGTCACAAGAATTGCACTAACTCCAACACACCAAACACACATGAGCATATACACATATTGGGAACTGGAAGATTTATGGTTATGCTACAGGCTTTGTGATAACCTGAAGTGGATTTTCTCCTCAACTATTTCTTTTTTCGTGTGTGTGTGTGTGTGTGTGTGTGTGTGTGTGTGTGTGTGTGTGTGTGTGCCCATACTGGGCTTAAACTCAAGACACTATCCCTTAGCTTTTTCACTCAAGGCTGATTTTCCACCACTTGAGTCGTAGCTCTACTTCTGGCTTTTTGCGATTGTTAGAGATAAAGAGTCCCATGGATTTTCCTGCCTTATCTGGCTTCAAACTGGGATTCTCAAATCTCATCCTCATGACTAGCTAGGATTACAATCATGAGCCACCAACACCAGGGTTCTCACCCAATTCCAACAACAAGTTTGGGGAAGAAGGAATAGAATGTGTCTTCCACAGGACCAAAAGGGTTGAGTTAGAATACTGCAAGTTCCTATTCTGGAACTGAGCTTAAAAGTCCTTGTAGACTTTGATCTACAATGTATGTGAGGCTGCCCCCATCCAGGATGTCAGTACGATGAAGAAAGGATTATTGGGTTTTCATTTTATTAACTCATATTAGTTACACAAGGAGATATGTTATTGTTACATGTCTACTCATTTACAATATATTACAATATTGCATATAAAACAATAATATATAAAACAATTTCAAAGATCTCATTGCTCTATTTGCATAATTGCAAGCCATCTATTTCAAATGCATCCATCCTCTTCCATTCTCCTTGTCGGTCCAGATGCCTCGCTCTAGTAACCACCTCAAGATTTTTTTTGTTTTATTACCTTCATTATATCTTCCCGCTTGCCCTCCTCCAAGCTTCCTACAGATGGCTAACCTGCATCACTCAACTTGGGGTTTGCTGTAGACCAAAGTGCTAAGCCAGAGTTATAACTGAGGAAATGATTAGCACCTAGTCATGGCATAGCAGAGTGGCCTAGTACAAAGTCCTCCCAAGGGCAACCACCACCCCAAGGCTTTAAGTCATCTTTCTGCTCTACCCCACCCTGTATCTGGCTTTAAAAGCCCTGCAGAGCAGCAGTTGCCTCTGTTCTGAGCTCTGACTTGCACAGGGTGCCTACAACTTGACTCTGAATTTTTATCGATCTAAATTTTATCAACCTACGACCACTATCTTTGACCAGTGAACTGCAAGGTAAGCTTGCCAGCTCTGAGAAATGTCATGCTGGACTTTTCTTCCATAGAGGCATAGCAAAGAGCAAAAGCATTCAACTCTCACTAGTGACTGTTTTTATTTAATGGCTTTAGGCTTGGGATCCTCAGAATTGGATGCTGGAGGGATGTCCCTCATGGCTAGAGCTTAAACTGAGAGTAATGGCCAAGATTCCCATCTTAGATCTGTTGGTTACTAAAGGACTACTTAAACATTCTAAGTCTCACATCTGTGAAACAGCTACTTACTTGGTAAATTTATTGTAAGAATTAAGAAGAACTTCTTGTCAGGTCCCAATGGCACAGGGCTGTAATCCTAGCTACTCAAGAGGCTGAGATTTGAAGATTGCAATTCAAAGGCAGCCCAGGCAGACAAATCCAAAACTCTCTTATCTCCATTAACCAGCAAAAAGGCAGAATTGATAGCGTGCTAGCCTTTAGTGGAAAAGCCAAACAAGTGCTCAGGACCCTAAGTTTGAGCCCCACTATGGCTCAAAAATTTTTTCAAGGTGTTTATTAAAATATTATTGAAGGGCTGGGAAGGTGGCTCAGTGGTAGAGTGCTTGCCTTGCATGCATGAGGCCCTGGGTTTGACTCCTCAGCACCACATAAATAGAAAAAAAATAAATAAAATAAAATAAAGTATTATTGAAGTCAGTAGGCAAGATAGCTGTTTTAAAGAACTTTGCATTATTTTGTTTCAGTTTTCTTTGTCAGTCATGCAGTTTGAACTCTGGGCCTGGGTGCTGTCCTTGCACTCTTCAGCCCAAGGCTAGGGCTCTACCACTTGAGTCACTTCTGGTTTTCTGGTGGTTTATTGGAGATAAGAGTCTCACAGACTTTCCTGTGTGGGATGGCTTTGAACTGTGATCCTCAAATCTTAGCCTCCTGAGTAGCTAGGATTACGGGTGTGAGCTACCAGTGCCTGGCTTATGGTTATTTTTAACTATTTTTAACTTTTTGTGCCAGTACTGGGACTTGAACTCAGGTCCACATGCTCTTGTTTGGTGTTTTCTGGTCAAAGTTGGTGCTCTACCTATCACTTGAGCCACCATATCCATCTCTTTGCTGGTTAATTGGAGATAAGAGTCTCTCCAATGTATCTTCTTAGGCTGGTTTTGAACCGCAATCTTCACATCTCTGAGTAACTAGGATTATAGACACTGTCACAAGGGTAAAAAAAATTTAGTGTATAACATGATGATTTGAAATACACATACTTTGTTCTTTCCCCAAGAAATCAGCTGAATAATTGTACATATTTTTAATTTAACAACAATTCCCAATATGTTAGCGCCATCTCTTTACCCCAAGAAATGGCAAGACAATTAAACACTGCGGCAAGAGACTGCAGGATTCTTACCTGGATTTTTCATCATCACCCTCTTTTTCACAAGTCTTTTTTCTCTAGCAACTTTTGCCCTACTCATTGCATTCTCAAATTTAAACCCAGTGTTTGGCAAAGTGTAAATTAAGATAAATGGAAAGGCTAGGTGCTAATGGCTCAGACCTGTGTAATCCTAGACATTAATAAGGCTGAGATCTGAGGGTCACAGCTCCAAGCCAAGCCAAGCAAGGAAGTCCATGAGACTCTTATCTCTTATCTCTTAACTGTGGAGCTTGGATCAAGTGGAAGAGTTCCAGCCTTTAGCACAAAAGCAAAGAGGCAGCACATAGGCCCTGAGTTCAAGTCTCCATACCAAAAAAAAGATGAATAAATTAGAAAAGAAATAAATATTTCCAGAGGGAAAAAAGAAAGAGATTTCTGTTACTAGTATTTGGTCATTTAGATTATCTTCACAAGTTGAGTGTAATTCTCATCTTTAGTAACTATTAGTTTATATCTACTGAAGCATTGGCCAATAATAACCTAAACTTCTTCATCAAATAAATGGAAGTATGATATTTTATGAAACTCCTTTGAGGATTAAATAAATATGATATATAGAATAACTGATCAATATGCTTTTATAATAGGTTTTATTATATAATTCAAACAACAGTATGATAGAAATACTTTATTTTAAATAAGGTTGGCAGTATCAATTCATGATGGCACAGACTGAGAAGACTGAAGAGGAGTCAACCCTAATCAACCTTCTAGAAATTGATGGCGTCATGTTGCCAGTAATATCAAAAGAAATATGGGCTCGAGTTTGTAATTTCCAAGCCAGGCCTGATGATCTTATTCTAGCAACTTACCCAAAGTCAGGTAAGTATCAAAACCTTCCAACATGAAACTATTGGATCATCTGTATTGATCAAGGATATATAATTGGGATTTGAAAAGGAGCAATTCTTCATTTGGAAGATCTACTTTTTTTGTTTTATCAGACTTTTATCATCTCTGGACTGCACCAGTTTTTCATGACATGACTCCTAATTAACAAAACACATTTCCAAATGCCTTGGAATAGACCAGATAATACCTTCATTCCAGAATCAATAACTTAGATAAAATATCAATAAATCAAAAAATATATGATTTTTCCTACAGTATCAACTTTCATTCAGAGATTTCTATTAAAACAAGTTATACTACAGATAATTAAGATCTTGTTGTCCAATTGTCCAAAATTCCTGGAATATGTCAATGAAGACCTTTTCCTCTGTCCCAGTTAAATCTCATTCAGAGAAGCCAAAAGAGTTGACATTTATTTAAGATACACTGAACTGAATATTCCTAAGAAACATAAGTATATCCCTTATGTATAGAACTTGGTTTTCAAACACTCTTCCTCACCTAAAGGATCCAAAGATATTTGGAGAATCTTAGTTCTAAAGAGAGACTGTATGGGAAGAGCCTAGGATATCTTATTTTCCAGAAAACATGTAAATATTCAAAAATAATGGGTCAGAAGAACTTTAGAGCCAGTTTGAATAGGCTCACAATGGCCAAGGGTTAAATAGTTTTAACATCTAAAATAATAATATTGTTAACCTTTAACTGTTAACTTTAAATAAAATCTTTCGGACCAGCAATGATGAGGCTCTAGACTAGACTTGTACTCTAACCATAAGCAATTAGAAAACTGGACAAAAGATATGAAACTATTGTTTGCCAACATTAGACCTTAGCTTCTAGTAAGAAGACACTGTGAATGGAGTGTGGTAGCAGGCAAGTGAGGAACCACGTGTAAGAGTTCTGTGAGCTGTGATGGCTTCATTGAGCAGAGTGGAATGCTAGAGAGGAAGAAATTGCACAAAGAAGACTCATCTCCAATTAACCAGCAAGGAGCTGGAAGTGAAGGTATGGCTCAAGTGGTAGAGCACTAGCCTTGAACAGAAAACTAAAGAACTAAGGGACAGTGCCCAGGTCCTGAGTTCAAACCCCAGAATTGCTGCACATATGCAGACACACACACACACACACATACACACACAAACACACACACACACACATACACATACAAGCTAAAGCTAAAGCTCCTAGGCCCTAGTTCAAATCACAGTACTAGAACAAAAAAATAGAAAACATATGTTAGCCTTATTTAAACATTATGCAATCTATGAGAGATATATTGAATATATTCTGTTAACATGTACTTTTTGTGTTTTAGTGTTGGTTAGAAAATGATTTTAGTATTTTAAATAATATTAAAGTCTTAAAAGAAAATAGCAAAACATTTATTTATAATATTTATAATTTATATTTATAAATATAAATTTATAAATAAATTTATAATATAAATAAATATAATACATAGCTGTACCATAAACATATAATGTGTGTATATCCATATATGTATGTGTGTATAGGTAGAAATGGGCAGACAAGCAGGCAGACAGACAGAGACAGACAGGCAAACAGACAGACAGACAGACAAACAGACAGATAATTTAGGTACTGGAAGTGGAGCTGTGATTCAAGTGATAGAGCATTAGCCATGAAGTAAATAGCTAAGGGTCTGTGCCCAGGCCTTGAGTTCATAATGTAATTCTCAGCATGATGAAAAATAAATTCACCTGAGAAGTTCCCTGGCAAAAAATGTTTTACTTGAACCTAATCAAGATCAAATTTCCAGATTATAGAAACAAAAGCAAGAAAAGAGTAGATTAGTTACTATAAAGAAGTAATCAATACATTATAAATACATTAAAAACAATAGCAAGAAAGAAAAAACCACTTGTGTTCTTATCTTGGGGTTCATTTCACTTAACGTTATCTTATATCATCATATGTACATAACTTTTTACCTCTTCTGCTTGTCCTAGACATACACCATGGGACCTATGTTTCTTTGGGCCTGGCTTACTTCACTTAATATAAATTTTTCCAAGTCTTTTCATTTCCATAACCACATGTTCTTTGTTTCTTTGGTATGTTCTTCCTCCATGGTAGTCACCTGTTGTGACTGTATTTGATTCTGGTGCCCTGCATCTTGTATATAAATTTTTCTAAATTGGGGAGGGGGAGGGAAATAAGAAAATGTTTAAATAAGGATACAGGTTGACCCATTGTAACAATGAAATGTACAAGACACTATATTGAAAAAGAATTTTGCAACTTTGGTCGGGGGAGGGATTTTAGGGGAAAAACAAAGGAGGAGGTAACAATGCTTGATAGGAAAGGTACTCATTATCTTACTCATATAACTATAACTCCTCTGTACAGTATTTTTACAAAAAAAAAATTTAAAGAAGTGATCAGGCACATTCAAAATGCTAGACATACTACTAGACAGATGACTGGTTGTGCAAAATTCAACATCATGAGAAAAAAAAAAGTAAAGATGGAATTAGGCTAAGATACAGGACCTCAAGACCAGTCCATGAGCCAGGCACCCATGGCTCAAGCTTGTAATCTTAGCTACTCAGGAGGCTCCGATCTGAGGATCATGGTCCAAAGCCATCCCAAGCAGAAAAGTCCCCTTGAGACTCTTATCTCCAATTAACCACTCAAAAACCAGAAGTGGATCTGAGGCTTAAAGTGGTACAGTGCTAGCTAGCCTTGAGCAAAAAGAGCTCACATAACAGTGCCCAGGCCCTGAGGTCAAGCCCTACAACTGACAAAACAAAAGTCCTTAAACTTTAACCACAAAAGATACAAATGACAGTGTTTAGCAACTGGGAAAAACATTTAATACAAAATGAGCCCTTCACAACATTAGGATTTATAAATTAGATGCAATGAGAAATATGGAGGAAACATGATAGAAGAAGGTCATTTTTTTAATGTTATTATCTTTAAGTAGTTGTACAAAGGAGTTGGCATTCACCAAAGCAGTTTGAGAATACAGTGCATCTTGATCAATATCACCTTTTAGAAAAGGTCACTTTTAGGCATGAAAGTCATCACAAAGTTACTCTGAAATGATTCCTTCAAACTTGATAGCCGATGGATTAGATAAGATAGTTAAGTGATTGGTTGATACACACACACACACACACATATACCTAATACTTATATGTATGTGAGACAGAGGAGAAAAGATGGTACATAAGTCAGTTGGTACATTTTTAGGTAGATGATAGATAAACTTGATACAAGTAAGAGCTGGTAAATAATAGGTTAGATGAGAAAAAAATCTAAGAGAGCAAGTGGTTTCTTATTTTAATTTTCTTATCTTTAAGTGGTTTTGCAAAAGGTTTCAATTCAGCTTATCAGCTGATGGGAACAGTGCATCTTGTTGTTAATTTTTTTATTTACTTTTAAGTAGCTGTACAAAGAGGTTTCAATTCTACAAGTCAGATTAAGAGTATAATGCATCTTGATCGATGTCACCCCTTGCATCATACCCTCAGCTCTTCCAATTGCAAACATCCCCTCAAGTTACCTGGTTCTATTTTCATGTTTGCACATTGGACATTATGACTGTATTCACCACCTTTCCTTTTGCCAAAAAAAAAAGTTTTATAAAAGAAAAGAATTCTTTTCCAAGCAACTGTAATGCCTACTACTAAGAATAAAGATGGTGAACGTTGCAGTTGAAGGCCAGCCTGGGTAAAAAGTTCTAAGAATCCATTTCCTAAATATGGAAGTAACCATAGTAATCATAGTAATCCATGCCTGTACTTAGCCAGGAGGTAGGTAGGTAGATAGATAGATAGATAGATAGATAGATAGATAGATAGATAGATAGATAGATAGATAGATAGATAGATAGATAGATTTAAAAAGATAAAAGTCTGATGGCAGCCCATAAAAAAACTCAAAAACACAAAACTCTACTGAGAATCTGGAGCCGTGACACCAATGGTAAAGCTCTTGCCTAGCAAGCACAAGTCCCTCAGTTCAAACTCCAATACCACCAAAAAAACTTGACATTTTGAAGTATTCTTTATAACATTATGTTCTCTATGTATTTATATATTTCTGACAAAATTTGGAACAAAAGCTTCAAGTTGTATCACAGGAAATTTGTGAACACCTCCCCATGAAGGGAAGGTACACTAAGGAAGCAGTCCCTTCCGCCGCCTCACCATTAATCTAATTTCAAAGTGCTTTCAAGTTGCTGTCTCTCTTCAAAATACTTGATTACTTAGGATATCTAAAATCAAAAAATATCTGTTTCTAATTGTTTTCAGGTACAACCTGGACACAGGAAATTTTAGACATGATTCACAATGATGGTGATGTGGCAAAATGCCAACGAGCCACTTCTACAGAAAGACACCCTTTCATTGAGTTAACATTTACCCATAAAGAAAAGCTTGGTGAGTAATATGCAGCAAGAAGGGAAAGGCTTAGGCTAGAAGGTACCAAGGCTATGCTCAAAGTCTTAGGCAGGATTTCCCTGGATGCCTCAACTAGTCTTGTTTTCCATGGGCAACTTGCTCCCTGGTGAAGAAGTCAGACCTTAGATTTGGGCAGCAAAGCCTCCTCATGTTCTCTTAGCTGTTGAACTATACCTTCCCTGCAAGTTATTCGTTCTACTTCTTGTTCTTCCCAATGAATTGATGGAGTCCACCACCTTTTCCTTTCTACTTTCCATGTTGGAATTAGTGGGAGGGATGGAAATTCATGCTTAGCTTATGAAAAGAATGGAGATTATTTCTGAATAAGAAAGATGTAAGAGAGCCATGTTTAATAGATGTCCACAGAATTAGCTGAGGATGCTAAAGACTTCTGAGAATGTAAAAGCCCCTAGAATGAGACTGAATAACAGAAGGCTTAGCAGGAGCCAAGCACAGTGGTACATGCCTGTATTTCTAGCACTGGGGAGGCAGAGGCAGGACTGTCATGAGTTCAAGTCCAGCCTGAGCTACATAACAGATTCTATCTACAAAGAAGCAAGGAAGGAAGGAAAGGAGGGAGGGAGGGAGGGAGAAAATTTATATGTTCTTTTGTATACAACTATTGTCTCTTAGGGAAAAATAAAAAGCACCTACTAGATTACTACAGGAATGCAAGTTCAAGGACTTCCCAAGAATGGCAAGAATGAATGGAGAATATGGATTGTGTTTTTCTTTCTCTAGATTTGGACTGGGCTAATGAAATGCCCTCACCACGAATGTTAAAAACTCATCTTCCCTCGCATTTAATGCCACCAAATATCTGGAAACAAAACTGCAAGGTAAAGAGAGCTAGTTTCTCCTGCTTCCCTTGGATTGGCTACCCAAATGACATAAGTGAAGAAATTTTTCCAAATAATATAGGTACCACTGGGCATCAGTGGTTCACACCTGAAATCCTAGCTATTCAGGAGGCTGATATCTGAGGATCACAGTCCAAAGCCAGCCCTGGCAGGAAAGTCTATAAGACTTATCTCCAAATAACCACCAGAAAACCAGAAGTGGTGCTGTGGCTCAAAGTGGTAGAGCACTAGCCTTGAGCAATAAAGCTCAGTGACAGCACCCAGGCTCAAGACTGAAAAAAAAATAGGTGCCATTTCTATTAAAATCAAGGATTATATACATTTGAAATCTGTAGATATCCATGATTCCTAACATTCTGTTCCTAAGAGCCTATTTCTTTTTTATGCTTTTTTATTGTAAAAATACTGTATAGAGAGGTTACAGTTACAGGAGTAAGGTAATGAGCACATTTCTTATCAAGCCTTGTTACCTCCTCCTTTGTTTTTCCCTAACATCTCTTCCCTCCCCACCTCCCCACCTCCCCAACTCCTTCACCCCCAAAAGTTGTAAAGTTGTAAAGTTCATTCTCAACATGGTGTCTTACATACTAAGAGCTTATTTCATATCATGCTTTGCTCACCTTACCCAAAACAAAACTCTATGTTACTGCAAGCCAGAAAGTAGAAGGAAGCCATAGAATGAAAGGAATAAAATTAAATTTTTAACCCTTTATCTCTGCTCTGCCGAAGAGATGATCTCATCTGCGAAGCACAAATGTGAAGTCTATCCATCAGCTATACTTTCATACCTCCTCCACCCACATGATGAGCAAGTTCTAACCCAGTCATCATGTTTGCCCTCCTTGTTCTATATCTAATCTCTAACAAAGTCTAGTTATTCTTTAACCTGTTTGTTCTTTTTGTTTTGTTTGTGCCAGTGCCAGGGATTGCATTCGGGCCTTATGCTGTCACTCAGCTTGATTGCTTACCTCTGGTGCAGTACCTCTTGAGCCATGCTTCCAGCCCAGCTTTTGGCTGGTTAATGGAAGATGGAATCTTTTGGACTTTTCTTTCTGACCTGGCTTCAAATTGTAATCCTCTGGCTCTCAGCCTCCTGTAGATAGGATTACAAATGTGAGCCGTCAGAACCCAGCAATTTAACCCTTTCTAATCTGTCACTATCCTGTGTTATTCCACCTGTCCTGAAATCTTAGTCAATGTTCTCTTTTGAGTCCTAATTTACCTGTCTGCCTTGTCTTCTTACCACCTCCAAACTCTGTAGCCAGTAATTTTCCTAAAATGCAAATCTTCCAAAATGCAAATGCACTGCTTTAAACACTTCCAGAGGTAGAGATCAAGTTCAAGTACCATGACTTTCCCTACCTTTGACCTACATTAGCTGCAGATCATCCTTTTTACATTCCTTTCTCACCACACTCATGCTGAAAATACTACAGATCCATCATACATACAATGGAATATGTGTGCTTGTTGTATTTATGTTTCTTCTGTTGTACGTATGTTATAAATTTCTCTCTTCCGGCCTCTCTGGTAGACTGTAGTTCATTGTGGGAAAGTGACTTAGTATTGCTTTTTTTTTCATTCTAAACAGGGCCTGGCACACAACAGGGCTTCCTTATCTTCTATGCATTTGTTGAATGATTGATGGATCCTAAATTTCCAATCATCTAATTAGCAGGCCACTCTCCTTGGTTGCATGGATTTCTAGGAAGAAGCCAAGGGTAATTCAAGTGTGGAAAAAAAAAGAATAGCACATTAACAAAACCATTCTAATCATTGGGAAACCACCTGAGACACCCCCTCAGAAGGTGTCTTGTCACTATGTCTGCATTACAGGCAGTTCAGGACTCAACGCCCATTTCTCTGTTCTAAGCCTGACCAATCAGGCACCAGCCCTATAATAGCAGGAAGTCCCTCCAATTCTAAATCTCAGTTCACCAATTAGCAAAGGGAAATACCTCCTTCTCATTAGCTAGCACTGATGAGTCAAATGAATGATATGAACAAAATGCTTGCTCTTTCCCTAGCCTCTCCTCCATTCAAAGTGGATGACTGGCTTTTCAAGTCACCTTCTCTTCTAAATGTCAGGAATGTACAGTTTCTTCTCTGATCATTCACAGCACCATCTGACCTGCTTCCTCATGCCTATAATCTTTGTATGAATGGGGCACTCTTGTTTTGTCTCTAGACTCCTTTTGTCCATCAGAGTTGCAAGGTCAAAGAGGCTCATTTGTTTTCATTAAGTTTGTGTTTTTATTTGTTTTTTAAGACAAGGTCTTGATTGGTAGCCCAGGCTGACCTTGAACTATTGATCTTTCAGCCTTCATCTCCTGGTTATAGGCTGGAATTACCAGCCCGCCTAGTGTTTATTTCCTTTAGGCTGACATTGGATGAAGCACTATATAAGCTATATAAGAAGATGGAGCTACTGATTCCGAACACTCTCCTGCAGCATTTCACTCCATCTTATTTTTCTTGGGCTTCCTTCCTGCTCCTTGACTTTAGGTCATCTATGTGGCCAGAAATCCCAAGGACTGTATGGTGTCCTCCTACTACTTCCACAAGATGACCTCAATGCTGCCTGACCCTAAGAGCTGGGAGGATTTCTTTGAGAAGTTCATGGCAGGAAAAGGTGAGTACAACAGGTTTCTAGGTGCTCTGTCTTTTTGGAGGTTCCAGCAATAGGTGCATCTAGAATCTGGTAGAAAGTGGTATGAGGTGAAATCCTGAGCAAGCTGGTCCTGTCTTGAAGACCTAGGACTGGGAAAGCCAAGTAAAGGGATTTTTCTCCAAAACTTGATAAGAATGTAAATTGGAATCCTCTGTATTAGGGCAAATCCTAGATGTAAGCTTCAAGAAATCTGCAGAAACAAGGTGGAGAGTAATTTCATATACAAAGACCTGGAGGGATGGAAGCTCACAAGGTAGTTTCCTCTTGCCTTGATCTAACAATGTTGTAAAGTGTAAGGCCTCCATGTGCACTCACCGAAACATTTCATACTACAACATGTCTTCCCCATCAATCAAAATGTGCAATCATAGGAAATCTCCCTTACTATGGTAGTGCACAGCTATAATCCCAGCTCCTTGGGAGGTAAAGGCAGATCATAGGTCTAGACCAGCCCAGACACAAGCATGAGGGGAAAAAAATCTGAAAAACAAACTAAAAGCAAAAGAGAACTGGCTAAGCAAGTGTGAGGCCCAAAGTTCAATACACACACAAACATGGAAGGAAGGAAGGAAGGAAGGAAGGAAGGAAGGAAGGAAGGAAGGAAGGAAGGGAGGGAGGGAGGGAGGGAGGGAGGGAGGGAGTGTGGGGGGAGGAAGATGCCAGGTACCAGTGGCACACAGTTGTAATACTGACTACTCAGGACACTGAAATTTGAGATCACAGTTCAAGCCAGCCTGGAAAGACAAAACTAAAAGATTCTTTTTGCTGTTGTTCTGGTCTTGGGGCTGGAACTCTGGGCCTGGGTGCTGTCCCTGAACTTCCTTTGCTCAAAGCAAGCTCTCTACCACTTGATCCACAGCACCACGTCTGGCTTTTTGGGGTAGTTTATTGGAGATAAGAGTCATGAAATTTCCCTCAGGGACTGGCTTCAAACCATGATCTTCAGATCTCAGCCTCCTGAGTAGCTAGAATTACAGGTGTGAGCCGCTGGCACCTGGCTCCAAAAGATTCTTATCTCCAATTAGCCACCAAAAAGCCAGAAGTGGAGCTTAGCTCAAGTGGTAGAGTGATAGTCTTGAGTGAAAAAGCTAAGGGACAGCTCCTAGGCCCTGAGTTCAAGCTCCACTACAGAGAGGGAGAGAGAGGGAGGGAGGGAGAGAGGGAGAGAGAGAGAGAGAGAGAGAGAGAGAGAGCTTCTCCATCAGAGTTCTAAATTTGAATTAACAGTATGGTCTTTCTACTGAGGAAATTGTGCTTCCACAACAAAAACGGACCATTTATTGCCTCACCTTTCAAAAAAGCTGATGAACAAAATTGGCCAAGTGTTAACTCAGCCTAATAGGAATCTCAAAACCTTCACTGAAGAAAATGTATCTCAAGAAACTAGGGATGAAAAAAAAAAGAAACTAGGGATGCATAGACAAATCAAGATGGTTTAGATGTTTGTCAGAGCTTTGATGTAGAAGCAGATGCTAGTATTTCATCATAGCTATGTGGGCAGTACAGACAAACAGATGGGAGTGGTGTGGTATCATTTAATCGCAACATCCAAAATACTTAAACCTTTTATAAACGAAGTATCTATGTTCTGATGTTGAGACTTCTTTGTCCTTGGGAGCTAGTATTTGTCAGGGAAATGGACAAAAGGTTATCAAATTAGGAAGTGATGTCTGATGACAATTGCCATCTCTTCCTGGCATAATAATAAACACAGGACAGAGGCCTCTCCTTCTGATGATACTGCATCCGCTTCTGATGCTGCTGCATCTGCTTCTGATGGTTCAGTATCCCTTTCTAATGCTTTGTTTGGCACATGGGTGAAGTGAGAGCCACAGAAGGACCCCATGATTTAGCTGCCTTTATCAGTAGTTGAATTTAAAACTAAGCAGCATTTACCAGGAAAGGTGAAATGTTTCATCTCTTAAATGTTTAAGGTGAGTACCAGGACATAATATTTGTGGCCAAGTCTCAAGTTACAACTGTACATTACAAATCACTGATTGTAAACTCAGACAGCTTTTACTAGCAGAAAATTAATTCACTTTTGTCACATAAGCTAAGTAAGAGTTAGAGAGTTTACTTCGAAGAGATGCTAATTTATCTCATTGCCTTGGGTTTAGCCCTGGTCCTGAAAACTAACAATTCTCCTGCCTCTTCTAGTGGTTTGTGGGTCCTGGTATGACCATGTGAAAGGGTGGTGGGCTGCAAAAGACAAGTACCAGATCCTCTACCTCTTCTATGAAGATATGAAAAGGGTAAGTCATATTGAGCATGCTTGCTGGACCCAGCAAAGCCTGTAGTGATGTCATTCTATCCATTATGAGGACTCCTGCCTGATGAGCTGTCTCTTCAGTAATCAAATTCCTTTCTTATTTCCTTTTGTTCTAATTCCATCTTCCTCCATGATCAGAATCCAAAGCGTGAGATTCACAAAATGTTGGAGTTTTTGGGGAAAACTTTGTCAGAGGATGTGATAGATAAGATCATCTACCACACTTCATTTGATGTGATGAAGGAAAATCCCATGGCCAACCAAACTGGTGTACCTACCCATATCTTTGATCACAGCATCTCACATTTCATGAGGAAAGGTTGGTGACATCTCTTTTATTTAACTCAACTCTAAAACAGTATTCTGCCTGGAAAATGAAAATAATTTTTTTGCTGCTACTAGGGCTGGAATTCAGGGCTGGAATGCTGTCCTTTAACTTTTTCACTCAAGGATGGTGCTCTACCACTTGTGCCACAACTCCATTTCTGGACTCTTTGCTGGAAAGACCATTGTCTCACAGACTTTCATGCCTTGGCTGGCTTCAAACTACAATTCTCAGATCTCAGCCTTCTAAGTAGCTAGGATTGCAGGTGTGGACCACTAGCTTAAAAATCATTTTAAACCTAGTTTTCAGTAAGAAGTGAGATGGCTCAGTTCAATGTGGACTTCTGCCCTGCCTGTTTAGTGAATGGCAGTCCCACTGGTTCCAAGTACACATTGAAGTGTAATCAGAAATCTTTGAAGGACTTGATGTTGTGTTGACTGCTAGAACCCATGCCCAAACATCTAACTCAATAGGTCTTTAGTGAGTTCTCAGTTAATGTAGATGCTACAAGTCATTTGAAGACTACCTGTAGTCTTCTACAACCATGAAACCCAGATAAATCATAACCTCTTCTCAATGTCTCTTTCATCCTCTGCTCAGCCTTGAACACTCCCTGTTTAGTCAATCACTGTTTTTGTTTAGAAGGTGTCACTGTACAGAAGAGAAAATCATTTTCAGTTTGGTCTAGCTTGTATTTAGTACAGAATGTTATTCCTGCTTTGGAGCTGTGAATAAATACCATCTGAAAGAGAGTGAAGAGAGCATGAAGAAAAAGGAGATTGTATCCTCAAATGGTTAACAGAACTGACAGGGAGAAACAGACAAACAAAAAATTGACAAGAGAGTGAATAGGAAGCTCTTTTAGTGGGTCCCTGATAACAGTCCACTCAGATGAATCAAAATTTAATGTCCAGATTCTCTGGCAACATTCCTGAAGATTCTAATTTGTTATAATCCATAATTTTATATTATTGACAACCACTTTGGGCTAAATCTTTTTGCAGAAAGGTGAGAAAACACTAGAAATAATGCCATAGGAGATTGTAGAAAAGCAATTCATTCATTCTACATAGGATGGACTACCAAGGTACAGAAGTTGGAGGAACATCATTGATATCCACAGGTCACTTATGAGGAAAGAAGTATCTTCACCTAATAAGAATGATGTTATCAAACAAAATAAGTACTACTTTGTAAGACATTTCACTATGTCTCAGACAACAAAGTATTAGGGCTTGAAGTCCACTAGTAACCAGTTATAGACTTGTGGTTTAATATATCAGATGTGCCAATAGTGGTTACAAAATAGAATAATCCATCCCAGATGGGACACCCAGTGGGGCTGCAGGAATTTGAAAAAGAGGGTTATAAATGTGTTGTATGTTTTATAAGGGAGGTATATGAGGAGTAGAGCTAAGAGAGTGTCCATAAACCCAGGGAGAGGGATGGAGAATCATTCTGGAAGAGAAGTTCAGGTAGAATGGGCTAATAAGCCATTCATGGTGGGAAGAACCAGTAAAATGAACTGAAGAACCAGCCATATTGAGTAGGTCAGATAGAGAAGCCATCCATGTTGAGAAAGTCAGGTAGATTGTAGAAAAAGCAGGTGGAAAGGGCTGAGGGACTATTCATGAACTTCTTTTGATCCTTCAGGAATGCCTGGTGACTGGAAGAACCATTTTACTGTGGCTATGAATGAGACTTTTGACAAGCACTATAAGAAGAAGATGGAAGGGACCACTCTGACCTTCTGTACAGAGATATGAGAAGAAAAAATGGAGGGAGTATTATGTCCCCTTCCAACAATCTACTGGGCATGGGGAAATACTGAATGTTTGTTTGAAATTTGTCTTTTTCCCCCACAGAATCAGCTAGTCTGACAAAATACTAAAATGTAATTTCAATATTAATCAAATGGCTTCTGTACTAAACAAAATGAGTGAAGATCAGTGTCTCAAAACAATAGGACTTTTTTGAAATGCAAATATATTTTATTGTATGTGACAGACAAGGCAAAAACAAATAATTGCATCATTCATTCATATGTGTAATATAATATGGTCTTCACAAAAAAATAAGAGGGGGGAAGGGAGGGAGAGATGGGAAGGTGGGAAGGGATGGGAAGAGGAAACAAAGGAGGAGGCAACAATGCTTGATAAGTAATGTACTAATTACCTTGCCCATGTAATTGTAACCTCTCTGTACAGTATTTTCACAATTTAAAAAAAGTGATCAATTCTGAAATTACTAGATTTGTAAGTTGGATAGTTTTACTTAACCAATTTTGGCCTTAGTTCTTTTTGTAATCTGTGGTTGTAATTTTGTCTGCTTATGTAATTGCCTTAGAGCTTAAATAAATGCCAAGCATATAATAATTATTCAATTGGTATTCATAATTAACTAACCTATTCATTATTAACCCATATAATCTATTTGTGTAAAAATTAAATAATTTACTATGAAAAAAATAAGAGGTAGATATCAAAAGCTCCATTAAGAGAAAGGCCGGTGCCTAGGCATTTCTGTACAAAGAATCATTTGCTGTAATAACAGCAGTAATATGGTGGCATTGAAGTCTTATATATCCTTCACTCTCATGGAAACACCAAAGAAACACCAGCACTTGAATTAAAAGAAAATCAGACAGAACCCAAATTAAGATTCCTGCTGAGTGCTGGTGGCTCATGACTGTAATCCTAGCTATTCAGGAAGCTGAGATCTTAGGATTTTCGTCCAAAGGCAGCCTGGGCAAGAAAGTCAAAGAGAGTCTTATCTCCAATTAACCACCAAAAAGCTAGAAGTAGAGCTGTTGTTCAAGTGGTAGAACACTGGCCTTGAGCAAAAAACTCAGGAACAGTGCCCAGGCCCTGAATTAAAGTTCCAGGACCAGCACAGAAAGAAAGGAAAGGAAGAAAGAAGGGAGGGATGAAAGGAAAGAGAGAAAGAGGAAGAGAAAGAGAGAGAGAGGAACAGGAGGAAGAGAGAGAGAGAAGGAAAGAGAGAAAGAAGGAAGGAAAGCGAAAGAAAGAAAGAAAGAAAGAAGAAAGGAAAGAAGGAAGGAAGGAAGGAAGGAAGGAAGGAAGGAAGGAAGGAAAGAAGGGAGGGAGGGAGGAAGGAAGGAAGGAAAGAAGGGAGGGAGGGAGGATTCTTACCCACTAGATAACTGAGAAAATACCCAAATGAGTAGGAAAGCAGAAAAATGTTTTCACACCTACTCTACTCTGAGCATAGTGCCTTACACTCAAGAAGGAAAGTAACTTCCAGTTCCTTTCTGAAAGTTAAGAAGCTTTTATCATACATTTTGTGCTTGTATTTGACTGTTTTCTATTAGTATTACAAAATACTTGGTGCTTTGAAAAGAAAGAGGTTTGCAGTTCTGGAAATTCAAAAGCCTGATGCCAATTTCTTCTGTTGAGTTCTAGTGAGGGTCTCGTGGTTGGCAACAACATCATGGTAAACAAAACAAAAAGAAAAAAGAAAACATGGGCAGAAAAGATAAGCAGCACATACACATATAAAAGAAGGATTCAGGAAGATGCCAGACTTGCTTGAAACAAGCTACTCTTGCGAGACTAAAAGTGAGAGGACCCTATCCCCACAAGGAAAACTTTAATACACTTAAAGACCTAATGGCACCCTACAAGGACCCACCTCTTAAAAATCCCACCACAGTTCACCAACACACTGATGACTATGTTTCTGGAAAGTGAACCATTGGGATGACAAACCCCAGGCATGCCACTGCAGGGCCCACACTTAAGACCAGTCTACTAACACTTGGAGATATGATTCTCTTATCTAGTATATATAAATCAACACACAGTCAAAGAAGATAAAAATGGAGGAAATACATTCTGAATGGAAGAATAAGATAAATGCTCAGAAGTCAACTGTATTCATCAGCTTTCATTGCTATAATAAAATGCCTAACACAGGCTAATTATAAAGAAGATATCTATATTTAAGCTCACAATTTTGGAGGCAGAAAGTATCATGGTGCTGGCTCTATTGAGAGTCCTCTACCCTGGCTGCTTTGCTCCTGGCAGGTGGCTATGGTAGGAGGAAAAGTCAGTCAGATTCTCATTTCCAGTTAACCACCAAAAAGCTGAAAGTGAAGCTGTTGCTCAAATGGTAGAGCACTAGCCCGGAGCAAAAAAAGCTCAGAGACAGTGCCCAAGCCCTGAATTCAAGCCTGAAGACAAGCAGACACACACACACACACACACACACACACACACACACACACTCAAAAATCCAATCCAAGGGAAGGATCTGAGGAGAGTAGCGCATGTCTATAATTCTAGCACTCATGAAGCTTAAAGAAGAGAATCATTGGTTTGAGACCAACTTAGGATACACAGTAAGATTTTGTAGTAGTTTATTGGAGATAAGAGTCTCACAGACTTTCCTGCCCAGGCTGAATTTGAACCCAATCCTCTGACCTCAGCCCCTTGAGTAATTAGGATTACAGGCATGAGCCTCCGGCGCCCAGCTCACAGTAAGACTTTCATAAACAAACAAAAAATTCACAAATATGTGGAAATTAAACAATATGCTCCCACCAGGTGCCAGTGGCTCATGCCTATAATCCTAGTTACTCAAGAAGCTGAGATCTGATAAGGGAGCCAAAAAAACAAGAATGGAAGAAAGACAGTCTCTTCAGTAAAAGGTGTTGGAAAAATTGGTTAAAAACCTGTAGAATACTAAAGCTAGATCATTATCTATCACCCTGCACCGAATCAATGCAAAATGAATCAAAGACCTCGAAATCAAAGCAGACACCCCGAAAACATTACAGGAAGGAATAGGAGAAACTCTAGGGCTCCTTGGCACAGGCAGAGGTTTTCTTAATAAAGACCCCAAAACACAACAAATCAAAGAAAGGTAGGACAAATGGGATTGCATGAAATTGCAGAGCTTCTGCATGGCAAAAGACATAGCTAGCAAGATCAATAGAAAGCCCACAGACTGGGAGAAGATCTTCACTAGCCATACAACAGACAAGGGTCTCATATCTAAAATATACCTAGAACTCAAAAAGTTAAGTCACTCAAAAACAAATCCTCAAAGAAACAACTGCCCAATTAATAAGTGGACTAAAGACTTAAGGAGAGACTTTTCTGAAGAGGAAAAATAGTGGCCAAAAGACACATGAAGAAATGCTCAACTTCTCTAGCTATAAAGGAAATACAAATCAAAACAACCTTGAGATTCCACCTCACCCCAGTTAGAATGGCTATAATCAAAAAATCTAATAATGACAGATGCTGGAGGGGATGTGGACAGAAGGGAACCTTACTGCATTGTTGGTGGGAATGTAAACTTGTTCAACCACTTTGGAAAGCAGTATGGAGGTTCCTCAAAAGACTTCACATAGACTCCCCTATGACCCAGCAATCCTACTTCTGGGCATTCACCCAAATAACCACAAACAAGGCACACTAAAGCTATCAGCAGAACTATGTTTATCACAGCATTATTCACCATAACTAAGATATGAAATCAACCCAGATGCCCCTCAGTAGATGAATGGATCAAGAAAATGTGATACACACACACACACAGACACACACACACACACACACACACAGTGGAATTCTATGCTTCCATCAGAAAGAACATCACCCCATTTGTTAGGAAATGGAAAGACTTGTAAAAAATCATATTAAGTGAAGTAACCCAGACTCAAAGAAATTTAGGTACCATGGTTTCCCTTATTTGCAACAATTAGTATACATATAGGATAATCTAATCAGATAAGCTGAAAAGCTCAAAAACCATGTACAAATGATCATATAAGATGATGCTAAGTGAAATGAACCCCAAGATGTGGACACAAGAAGTCTGTCTTCATTTTTACTGTTTAAACTTCTTTTTTTTTTTTGTCGGTTGTGGGGCTTGAACTCTGGGCCTGGGCGCTGTCCCTCAGCTCAGGGCGAGCGCTCTACCACTTGAGCTACAGCACCACTTCCGATTTTTACTGTTTAAAATGTACCACGTGATTTTATTTTGTTGTAGTTGTTTTTCCTTTGTATGTTCTTTTCCCTATGGCATATCCCCTGTTGTCACCGTACTCAATTTTGATACCCTGCATCTTGTATATACATATGTCTAATCTGGGAAGGGGAAAAAAATTGCAAAATGCTGAAACAAGGACACAGGATAACCCATTGCAACAAGGATACCCAAAGCACATTATATTGGAAATGAACTTAACAACTTTGGGGGGGGGGAATGGGATGGAGAGGGAAAGGATAGTGGGACAAAAACAAGGAAGGGAAGGGGTAACAATGATCAACAAGTAATGTACTCATTGCCTTACTCATGTAACTGTAACCCCTCTATACAGCATCTTAACAATAAAATAAAAAATAAATTAAATTTAAAAAAAATAAAAAAAGAGGCTGAGATCTGAGGATCATAGTTCGAAGTCAGCCAATGCAGAAAATCCATGAGACCCCAGTGAACCACCAAAAAGCAGAAGTAGAGCTGTGGCTGAAGGGATAGAGCATCAGCCTTAAGTGAAAAAGCTAAGGGACGATACCCACGTCTAAACTTACTTTGTGAGATGAACATTACCCTGATGACGATGTTAGCTATGGACTTTTCATATATTGACCCTATTGTATTGAGATGTATTTTCTATTTTTGAGGGGGGTTTTAACCGATGGTAAATTTTGCCAGATGCTCTAAGATGGCATCTAAGATAGCCATGTGGTTTTGGCCCTCATTCTTGTGTATTATCACAGCTATTGGCTTATCTCTGCTGAATCATCTTTCATCCAAAGGATAAATCCCACTTTATTATAGTAAATTATTTTTTGAAGAATGGTGTTTAAACTGAAGACCTTGTGCTTACCACATGAGCCATGCCTTCCATCGCTTTTGTAGTTTTCACTTGCTTCAGGTAGGATCTTGCTCTTTTACCTAGAACTGGCCCGAAGTGCAATCTTCCTACCTCCACCTCCCAAGTAGCTAGGACTACAGAGTACCATCACACCTAGCTTGTTTTTTGAAATAAGG